TAATAATAATAATAATGTGAATCCCAATAAAATAAATTTACATTTTTGGTTGTAACATGACAAAATGTGGAAAATTTAAAGGGATATGATTACTTTTTCAAGGCATTGTACATGAAATAATAGGAGGATGAATTGATTGTATATTTTCTCTGTACAGCAAGTAAGGCACATGAGGGGAACATTATTATGGGGTTGATTTGCTAAAACTGGAGAGTACTAAATCTGATGAAGCTGTGCATGGTAACCAATCAGCTCCCAACTTCAGCTTATTCAATTAAGCTTTGACAAAAAAACCCAAAAAACTGGAAGCTGATTGGTTTCTATGCAGAGCTGCAACAGATTTTACACTCTTCCATTTTAGTAAATCAGCCCCATAGTGTAGTAACCAGTTTTTTTTTTTTTTTTTTTTTTTTGTTTTTTTTTTTTACTGCATTGTAAAACGCCTGTGACCACAAAGACACACAGAAAGCCGTTATTTCATTTATGTCCCATTCACAGTGCAGCGCAGCCTAGGGCTGTGCTAAAATGGAGACATGGAGCATTTACCACAGAGCACTGTACAGCAGCTCAGCACATAGTGCTGCTGTACAGTGCCATGAAGTGTATATTTTTTGTACACTCCAAATCAAAAACCTGCAGCTGTGTGATGCACTCAGTCACACACTACACTGCCCCTTCCATAGCCACAACGGACCGCTGCTGGAGAGGAAACCACATCGGTTTACCTCTCTGGCAGCTGTATATTGTGTGTGAAACCAATCTTAAAGTAACACTTTCATTTGTCATAGGCTGTCACATCCCTAAGTGTACCCAGAGGCATAGGATGATTGTTGCCCAGTTTGGGCTATGTGCAGACACCCCTAGCTAATTGTTGTACAATGATTTTTCAACAGTCGCTATGGCTTGTCTTAAGAGAATATCTTACAAATGGAAATGTTTATAACATGGTAGATAAACAGATATAGATACACACTGATCATTTATAACGTTATGGCCACCCACCTAAAATTGAGTAACCAAAGTCCCCTCAAGACATGGACTTTGGTATCTGGCACTAAGCCGTCAGTAGCAGCAGATCCTTTAAGTCCTGTCAGTTGGATTGAGATCTGTAGAATTTGGAGGTCAAATTGTGTTCCTCAAACCATCCCTGAACCATTTTTGCAGTGTGGCAAGGTGCATTATTTTATTGCAAGGAGGGGGCGTACTTGGTCACCAACAGTGTTTAGGTAGGTGGTACATGTCAAAGTAACATCTACATGAATGGCAGGACCCAAGGTTTCCCAGCAGAACACTACCCAAAGCATCAAACTGCATCTGTCGGCTCGCCTTCTTTCCATAATGCTTCCTGGTGCCATCTCTTCCCAAATAAGCAATGCACACATACCTGGCCATCCACATGATGTAAAAGAAAACATGATTATCAAAACCAGGCCACCTTCTTTCATTGCTCTGTGGTTTATTACTGATGATCACATGCCCATTGTGAACACCTCTGGCTGCTGACATGGGTCAGCATAGGTACCCTGACTGGTCTGCAGCTGCACAACCGATGGTTCTGCTTTCAACACATCAACTTCAGGGGGGCGCCCCCCCCAAAAAAAAAAATGCTGCCCAAGGCAAACACCTTGCTTGCCTCGTGGTAGATACACCCCTGGTAATGGCAGCTATTCAACATGGACCTTACATCAACTTTACAAGTCTGTGTGATTATATTACTGATGTATCACAATATACAGCAACGAGAGATAGATATATAGTTAGATATTTATATATATATATATATATATATATATATATATATACATACATACATACATACATACAGCAAAGGAAATAAGTATTTGATCCCCTGCTGATTTTGAATGTTTGCCCACTCACAAAGAAGTGATCAGTCTAAAAATTGAATAGTAGGTGTATTGTAACACTGAGAGACAGAGTAGCAACATTCAAAAAATTCAAAAGAAATGCATGTCAAACAAATTATGCGCTGATTTGTATGTTCATGAGGGAAATAAGTATTTGATCCCCTATCATTCAGCAGTATTTCTGGCTGCCAGGTGTTTTTCATACAGGTAGCAAGCTGAGATTAGAAGCAGTCTCCTAAAGGTAGTGCTGCTAATCTAATTTTGTTACCTGTATAAAAGACACCTGTCCACAGGAGTAATCAATCAGATTCCAAACTCCCACCATGGCAAAGACCAAAGAGCTGTCCAAGGATGTCAGAGAAAAGATTGTAGACCTTCACAAGGCTGGACTGGGCTACCAAACTAGCACCAAGCAGCTTGGTGAGAAGGTGACAGTTGGTGCAATCATTCGCAAATGGAAGATACATAAAACAACTGTCAGTCTCCCTAGGCCTGGTGCACCATGCAAGATCTCACCTCGTGGAGTGTCAATGATCATGAGAACAGTGAGGAATCATCCCAGAACTACACGTGAGGACCTTGTCAGTGACATCTGAATCATGCAGAGGAGGACTGGCTGAAAGTGTTGTGGTCAGATGAGACCAAAATCGAGCTTTTTGGCATCAACTCAACTCGCCGTGTTTGAAGGAGGAGGAATGCTGCCTATGACCCCTAGAACACCATCCCAACTGTTAAACATGGTGGTGGAAATATTCTGCATTGGGGGTGTTTTTCTACTAAGGGGACAGGACAACTGCACCGCATCAGAGGGACGATGGACAGGGCAATGTACTGTCAAATCTTGGGTGAGAACCTTCTTCCCTCTGCCAGGGCATTGAAAATGGGTCATGGATGCTATAACTGGCAGCGCTGATCGAGCAGCAATAATTCGACAGGGTGGTTGTACTGAAGTTGATCAGTATATCAACTTCTGTACAACCACCCTGCGCATACATGGATTGAAATTTGGCCGGTCCCTGCTGAAATGACCAAAATTCAATCCATGTGTAGCTCTACTCCTGTAGGAACTGCAGGAATACTGTCCAGGTCTTCCCCACAAGCTTTTCCCCGCAGCCAGGCACACAGACTCATTCACACGTTTCATCAATGACCCGTCTCAGGGGGATTGTATTTGTTGTTTTTTATTTGGAGAAATTGAATAGGGTTGAGAGAATTAGGTGAGATACTCCAAAAACAAGAACTATGTACAACTTGAGGACTTCAAGCTATATTAAAGTCTCTACTTGTAGCAAACCGTAGACTTCAGCTTTGAGGTGGTAGTAATCATTAACTGTAAATCTCTTAGAACCACAAGAGCAGAGTCCTTTTAAGTAAAAAAATTAGATGGCCAAAGCTCTTCAGAACACCAGCCGGTGTCCCCTTTAACTAGACCCACAGCTGACTCTCGACCACTTGAGAGGTGGCAAAAGCACTAAGACCCCTTTTAGAAACATCTGTACTCGCACATGGCCCAAGGACAGCTGGTTGCCTCCTTCCAACTTCCAAGCGACACCTTACTCTGGTGATACCACACCAGATCTTCAGCAGACAGTGCCCCCCTAAGTCAGTTAACTTTAGTTCCAGGGTCTCACCATATAGGCCTTCAGGTTGCCCACCTGAGGCCTAACGACAGCAGACATAGCAATATTGCCTGGAAAGACACCGTGCCCCCTCCAGGCTGCAATAATAATATCCAGGAAAAGACCCTGAGCTCAGTGTGCTCACCGAAAATATATATTTACAGTCTCCCAGCATGCCATCGGAGCCTGTCTCTCTGGGATAGGTCAGGGCTGTATCAATATTCGTGCTGCCCTCTGCAAAACTCCTCACCTATCATCCAGAAACTTCTCAAGCTCTCTGGATGTGGAGGGAGCTATCAGACTGGCAGCAGCAGAACACACTGGACAGATCTGACTAGCAGATTGCAGCTTCAATTAATACAGTGAGCAAACTATGCTTTTACCTAACAGTCACAATCACAGCCACACTGACTACAGTATGGCAACTAAATTTACCCATCAAACTACTAACCCACCCCCAGCCTCACAACTTGTCTCAGCTCTGAGCACTTTCCTGAGACCACAGGAATGCAGATACAGAAGGCTGACATATCCCCCCTCTCCCTCAATTCCTCTTGTTTTGGGAACGTGATCAGAGCATTAAGATTAATCTGTCTCCTTCCTAGTTGTTGTCAAATCTGCCGCAGTGGTGGGAAGGATGGGGAAGGCCAGACCTCATAACTAATCTTAGTAAACGCCTAGCTACATGGAGCAAAGTACTACTTGTATTGTGTCCTATTTCGGGCAGAACAGTGTGAAAAAAAAAATGATTTACAATTCTTAACAGGAAAAAATATCTCTGATCCTAAGTCCACTTTAGGTATAAAGAAGTACTTTATCCTGTTGGGTTTCTTTAAGTCATAATACTGTACATAGGTGGCAGGACATTTTTATAGTATGTTTTTTTAGGGACTGCCTACAATGTATTTTTGAGTACCCCTTTCCCTACAATTCCTGATCCCTCTGTGGTGAAGCTATTTTTACACTGTAAGCAGGATATTGCTCTGATGTCTCAGCAAAATATTTCACTCTGATCGTATCACTGTGTGGGATGCCGGCATGGCTTGCAGATTAAAATTCTGTAGAGTTCAGTCTTGATTGTCCAGCCTTTCACACACTCTTTTCAGCAGCCTCGTCTATGAAAATGTCTGAAAGAATAGTCCTTGTTGCCCATCGCAGCAATTGCATTATTGCATGGACAACAAAAGAAAGTGCTTCTTATAGCAGAGTTCAATGTTTGGTTAAAGGATTGGTGCAAAGCTGAAGATTTTGGTTATGTCAGTCATGATGCTATCAGGTGGTAGCACCCTCAAACAAGGGTGCTGAATTTAGGAGTTTTTAAGACATGCATTTAAACGCAGAAATGGGGGCAGAGATGTACCATATTTTTCGCTCCATAAGAAGCACCTGACCATAAGACGCACCTAGGTTTTAGAGGAGAAAAACAAGAAAAAAAAATATTCTGAACCAATGGACTGCAGACATAGTACAGGAAATTACCAGAGACTGCGGATGTACTACAGGAGATGACCATAGACTGCAGACATAGTACAGGAGATGACCATAGACTGCAGACATAGTACAGGAGATGGCCAAAGACTGCAGGCATGGTACAGGAGATGGACAGAGACTGCCGACATGGTACAGGAGATGGCCAGAGACTGCTGACATGGTACAGGAGATGGCCAGAGACTGCCGACATGGTACAGGAGATGGCCAGAGACTGCCGACATGGTACAGGAGATGGCCAGAGACTGCCGACATGGTACAGGAGATGGCCAAAGACTGCCGACATGGTACAGGAGATGGCCAGAGACTGCCGACATGGTACAGGAGATGGCCAGAGACTGCCGACATGGTACAGGAGATGGCCAGAGACTGCAGACCTTTGGGGTGCAAAGGGGAGGGAGGTACCCAAATTTGACAGGACATAGTACAGGAGATGGCCAGAGACTGCCGACATAGTACAGGAGATGGCCAGAGACTGCCGACATAGTACAGGAAATTACCAGAGACTGCGGATGTACTACAGGAGATGACCAGCGACTGCAGACATGGTACAGGAGATGGCCAGAGACTGCCGACATGGTACAGGAGATGGCCAGAGACTGCCGACATGGTACAGGAGATGGCCAGAGACTGCAGACCTTTGGGATGCGAAGGGGAGGGAGGTACCCAAATTTGACAGGTACCAGCTCCCACTTCCGCTGCGATCACCTAGGCGATCGGAAGCGGAAGTTGTCCTCCATCCCTCCCCGTAGTCTTCTGGAACATGTGACAGGTCCGAGAAGACTACAGAGCCATTCACAAAGCACAGCGCTTCACGTGCATGCGCAGTGGGCACCCAGCTGTGAGGCCACAAGCTGTCACAGCTGGGTGCCACACTAAAGATGCCGGCGCTAGGGAGAGAAGACGCCGGTGAAATCAGCGGTGGTGAGGACACAGCTGGACCGAGGGACAGGTAAGTGGCTGTTTTTTAAAAGTCAGCAGCTACAGCTTTTGTAGCTGCTGACTTTTTTTTTTTTTTTTTTCAGCTGGAACTCCGCTTTAAAGGGGCAGCTGCTTTAGGCCCTGCCTGGCACTACCACAGAAGAGCTGAGCGGTTGGCCCGGTATCCTAACGCAGCGACTGGAGGAATATCGGGACAGCCGTTCCATATTCGCTCCATAAAACGCACAGACATTTCCCCCCATTTTTTTTGGGGGAAAACAGTGCGTCTTATGGAACAAAAAATACAACAGCTGTTGAGTGTTTCTGTCCCTAGCAGGTTGAAACAAATGTGGGGGTTTGTGTTGCCAAGGACTGGGCTGATGGGGTCACTTCAGTTAAAGTTTCTGGTGGTACAAATAATGCAGTAGATTACAGTGTTTTGTCATGTTTTGCCCTAATGCTCATAGTTTAGGCAACAAGCTTTGTGAGCTGACAGCTTTTATGTCTAGGAACAACATGGATCTTGTTGCAATTACAGAGACGTGGTTCAAGGATTCAAACGATTGGGAAATAACTATACCAGTGTATACACAATACAGGAAAGACAGAGTAGGGAAGAGGGGAGGTGGAGTTGCCATATATGTAAAAAATAGCAAAAGGCTAACATTAATTCACAAAGCAAATGAAATACTCTCTAAACCCTCTGGGTCTGCCTTCCAACCAGAGAGAGATCTTCCCTTAGAATTGGTGTAATATAGAGACACCCAGGTCAGACTGAAGATTATGACAACTTGTTGATTGACGAGATAACTCAAATGGCAATGAAGGGGGAAGTCTTGATTATGGGTGACTTCAACATGCCTAACATTAACTGGAATTCTCAAACTGCTATTACAAGCAGAAGCAGGAATGTAATGGAAGCACTGAATGGGCTTTCCCTAAAACTGTTTAGTAAAAAGTCCAACCCGAGGCAATCATATTCTAGACCTAGTACTGACAAATGGGGATCAACTGTCTAATGTTGAGGTGAGAAAAAAATTTAGGTCCTAGTGATCACCAATGTCTTTGGTTTAATATTAAAATAAGAACTGAAAAATCATATAGTAAAAAGTCTGATTTCAAAAAGACGAATTTTGCTGAAATGGGTGAATTTCTAAAAAATGCTTTGAAAGGTTGGAGTAAAACAGGAGTAATCAGTGGGCACTGTTAAAGTCTACCATCCTGGAGGCAACTAGATTATATGTCAGGCAAGTTAGTAAGAACAAAATGGAAGAAAAAAAAACAATATGGATCACTAAAGAGATGAGTAGGATAGCAAAGGAAAAAAAAAAATCAGTATATAGGAGATTCAAGAAAACAGGAGATGTAGCTGACTGAGAAGAGTATAAGAATAGACAAAAGGAGGCCAAACACATTATCAGTGCTGCCAAAGCACAGAGAGAGGAGGAAATGGCAAAACCTATTAAGAAAGGAGATAAAACCTTTTTTAGGTACATTAGTAATAAAAAATACAATTAGTAGATTAGTGAGAAAAAAATACTAAAATAAAAAATGAGCACAACACTTATGTTGAGCGAGACCTGGATGTAGCAAACCACATAAACAATTACTTTTGTTCAGTCTTCTCAGAAATAAATTATACTAACAATAGGTTGGGAAACCATATTGGTTCTAGTAATGATGGTTCATTTTTAGGATTTCTGGAGACAGAGAGGTAGCAGAGGAACTGGCTTGGTTAAAGATTACGCAATGGGCCCTGACGGTATTCATCCCAGAGTTCGAAGAGAACTTTGAGGTATAGTTGTTGGACCACGAACTGATGTTTATAATCACTCTCTCCTAACAGGAGAAGTTCCCCATGACTGGCAGACAGCTAATATTGTACCTATCCACAAGAAGGGCAGCAAAGTAGAAGCTAGCAATTACAGGCCAGTGAGTTTTACATTGGTTGTAGAGATGAGCGAATCGAACATGACGGAAGTGGGAATAAAAAGAAAAAAAGAATAAAAATTAAAAATAGAAAAAAAATTATATTAAAAATAATTAAATAATATTTATAATGAAAAAATAAAAATAAAAATTAAAAAATAAAAATAGAAAAATTTAGAAATAAATGGGAGGTAGAGGATGAACAAAATATGGGGGGGGTTAGTTAAATAATTCAGAGGGAAAAATACAATAAAAATTAGAATCTATTATAAATATGGGGGAGGGGTTATAATTAGGGGAACAATCTGGCTGTATCTAAGGTAAGACTAGATGTTAAAGGGCCAAAATTTAATCAGTATACACAGTTTTTTTTGTTAGAAATTAAAAGAAAATTTTTGCAAAATTGATTTAAATCTTGTTAAAAATAAAAAAATAAAAAAACTCAATAGTGAATGAAAAAATGAAATTAAAATTCCAAAAAGGCTAAAATAAAGAAATAGGAAAATTAAAGATTTAAAAAAGAAAAAAAATAGAAATAATAAATTAACAAAATTTTTTATTAATTTTTATTTAACACAATAAATATAATAATTATCAACGAAATTTAACAATTAAAGAATGTGAATAATAAAAATAAATTATATCAATAAAATAATTAACTATTTTAAAATAAAAATATTTCAGTTCCGAAATTCGGGAAAAAATTTCTATTCGCGACGAATCCGAAAGGATTAGCAAACTTTTCGGATGCACGAATCAAATTTCCCAAAAAATGCATACAAATGTGTGGCGACGGAGAAAATGGACAGAGAAGATGGGGCGGGATCTCTGGGAAGGCGCGCAGGACAAGGCGCGCTGACCCATAAATGCATTCATGAGTCATGAATCATGACATGTGATCGCATTAGCCAATCAGCAGCCAGCCAGCACTGTGTAATGGTGGAGCTATAAATCGCGGCCATCTTAGAATTCTCCATTAGCCTCCGGTCATTCAAGAGAGACAGACCTGTCTGTATTAAGGGACAGAGTTAGGGCCATACAGAGACTTTAAGGCCACAGAATCGTTACTCAGGGACACAGAATCGTTACTCAGGGACACAAATCGTTACTCAGGGACACAGAATCGTTACTCAGGGACACAGCTATCAAAGAATCGAAAATTTAAAGTGACATACACCCTTTTTTTTTTTTTGGTGGCTGTCGTGCACAGTTGGTGCTGCAGTTTGCCGATTGTGCAAAATAAACTGACTTTCTGCTTCACAACCACTATTGTACGTTCAAAGAGTTAAATCCATTTACACGCCGGCTGGCGGTAATATTTTTTTGGGTGATTAGTGCATTCCAGTGACACAAACGTACAGTTTCCAGCCAACGGCAAGCTGCAATTGACCGATTGTGCTAAATAAACTGACTTTCTGCTTCACAACCACTATTGTACGTTCAAAGAGTTAGATCCATTTACACGCCGGGTGGCGGTAATATTTTTGGGGGGATTAGTGCATTCCAGTGACATAAACGTAGAGTTTTTCCAGCCAACGGCAAGCTGCAATTGACCGATTGTGCTAAATAAACTGACTTTCTGCTTCACAACCACTATTGTACGTTCAAAGAGTTAAATCCATACTTTACACGCCGGGTGGCGGTAATATTTTTTGGGTGATTAGTGCATTCTAGTGACATAAACGTACAGTTTACAGCCAACGGCAAGCTGCAATTGACCGATTGTGCTAAATAAACTGACTTTCTGCTTCACAACCACTATTGTACGTTCAAAGAGTTAAATCCATATACACGCCGGGTGGCGGTAATATTTTTTGGGTGATTAGTGCATTCCAGTGACCTAAACGTACAGTTTCCAGCCAACGGCAAGCTGCAATTGACCGATTGTGCTAAATAAACTGACTTTCTGCTTCACAACCACTATTGTACGTTCAAAGAGTTAGATCCATTTACACGCCGGGTGGCGGTAATATTTTTGGGGTGATTAGTGCATTCCAGTGACATAAACGTACAGTTTCCAGCCAACGGCAAGCTGCAATTGACCGATTGTGTACAATAAACTGACTTTCTGCTTCACAACCACTATTGTACGTTCAAAGAGTTAAATCCATTTACACGCTGGCTGGCGGTAATATTTTTTGGGTGATTAGTGCATTCCAGTGACTAAACGTACAGTTTCCAGCCAACGGCAAGCTGCAATTGACACCGATTGTGCTAAATAAACTGACTTTCTGCTTCACAACCACTATTGTACGTTCAAAGAGTTAAATCCATATACACACGCCGGGTGGCGGTAATATTTTTTTGGGTGATTAGTGCATTCCAGTGACATAAACGTACAGTTTACAGCCAACGGCAAGCTGCAATTGACCGATTGTGTAAATAAACTGACTTTCTGCTTCACAACCACTATTGTACGTTCAAAGAGTTAAATCCGGTTTTATTTTTGGGGTGCTTATTGAATTAAAGAGTATGTCAGACAACACGCACCAGCGAGGAGTGGCAGAGGAGGCAATGTTTCAGGAGCGAGCAGACGTGGCAGCAGAGGAAGGGGTCGAGGGCAGCACTAGTCGCAGCCAGAGGCCAGTGCTCCCGGTGTCATCCAGCGGTCGTGTCTCCACCGACAACCCTGCCGTCATCGATTGGTTGACTCGGGTCGTCTTCCTCTTCCCAGGTCACCTCTGACACCTACAGCCAACGGTCGGTGGGTACGTCAGACACAACCGTTAGTTGGCATGGCCCGGGAGCAAGCCCCACTGAAATCACGTGTCCTCGACCTGCCCCTGTC